CTGATTTTGTGTCGTTTGCACAAAAACTGAATTTTAGCTTTTTGCTTCTTGAGGCTTTGATGGTTATATTCGCGGTTGATACCCGAACACGGATGTGAGAAAGTCGCAGCGTCTTTACAAATTATACAGTTGTGTCGTTTGATACAACTTAAATGAAGTGAGCTGGCCCTGATTTTGGCTGCTCTTTCACGATTTTTGATTCAGCAGTCTACTTTAGTGACAAAAATAACCTGTAATAAGCCTCTCGACCTCACTAACTGACATTCTTTAATTTTAGGCCTAAATCTAATTTTAATGTCAGATTCTAATTTTAACGTTAAACTTTAAATTTTATTGGGTTTTTGAGTTACCTTTATAAATTAGAAGTATAATAGATTTGAATTTGAACTTTTTGGTTGTTCCGACCACCAGTTGGAGCAATGAAAAGCATTATTACCGTCTTAAGATGTTGCAATTGTTACTTGAAAAAGACGTTTTAATGGAATTAAATGCATTTTTAGCAAGTGATATATGGATCGATGCCGCCAGAAGTGTTTACCACTCGTCTTCAAGATGCTCTTCGCTCTCAGGCACAGCCGCATCTCCTTCCATTTCTTCAAAAGGTTAAAATCTTTAACTTTAATTTTAGATCTTTTCTAAATGAGGTCCTCCTGTTACTGAAATTTAGTCATGGCTACTCAACCGCTGCATCTTTTTTGTTTTTTCATTCGAAAACTAGCATTTATTCTGAATGCAAAGCCTTCCTTGATCTACAGTCTGTAGTGCTACTCTTTTCGCGCTTGCTGCGTTAAAAATTATATCCTGATTTTTTGTGAGGAGAAAATCGCATCTTAGAAGACGGCATCTTATAAAACCTAATATACCGTTTTGCTCATTTGAGGGAGAACGGGAAAGCTAAGAGTAAACAGTTGCAAGGCGAAGTTTATGAGGTATTTTATTGATTCTGCAATGTATGCGAGCTGGAATAGCGCTGAGTGAGCCAGGAATCTTTAGAATGCTTAGTTAATTGAAAACGTGATTCCCGTTTTTTAGTAATTTTGGAAAATTTAAAAAAAAAAGAAATAAATTGGAAGGAGTGAGTAGCCATGAGCTAGATTTTCGAGGAAGGCATATCCAAGGGAGTAGCAGCCAGGATTTACAGCATTTTACGGATATTGTGGAGTTTTTTGATTTGCACAGTCGTTTACTTTACAAGGTATACTTCGGCCTACCTGCGACCGCAAATTACCACTTCACAACTTCGACCTCCCTGTCAGTCCTGCTTGGGATGGCCAATTTTGGCTGGGCTTCTATGGCCTTTCCTTTCCATTCTATTTCATTGGCGCCGAGTGTTCAGTGCGTTCTGTTGTTAAATTTAACGAACATCTTTTCAAGACGTTGCCGGCACTTCGTGCCGCACTGCAGAAGGGCGAAGTGACGATCGAGGGAATCAGCGCCCCAAACGCGCAGCAGCAACAGCAATCTTTTGCGGAAATCTCGCAACCGTCGGCACAGTGGGATGCGAATCAGCGGGGAAACAATGAAAATGCTTTTGTGCAACAGGTATCTCCAATTGATTTGTCCTTGCTAATATGTGCAAGTTGCTTTTTTGTTCAGAGAGATCTCCCGATTCTTTATAGTGTTTGTTAGTGAGTGCTGTAGGTACAGTACAGATACACCCCGACATCTCGAGATGTATCTGTGCTGTACTACACTGTAAGAAATTATCTGTGCTGTACTGGGATACCTTCTTAAAATTTTCTATAGCGTTTGTTAGTGAGTGCTGCAAGTTGGTGTTGTTGTCTTCTTCGGTACCGAGAAAGAAGGTTTCTTTGGTACTGAGAAAGCTGAGCAACTTGTACTGTTGGATTTTCAAGCAGAATCTGAAAAAGTTTAAGCTGGAAAGAATTATGAGTCTTGATAATGATAAATTCTAGTAATCATTGGTTCTCCTAGTAACAATCATCATTGCTAATAATTTCGGTCAATCGCACAGTAAATAGAAGCTCAGCAATACCACTTTTCTTGTACGAACTGTAATTTTCATAAGATTTCGGTGAATTTTATTGAAGAGAGCGGCGACAGCGACCAGTGGAGCTCAGCCGACAATCAGCGGC